ATTTCAACTTTGATATACAGTAATTCTATAACATTTTTTCCAACCACATCAATTGGAATATACCTACCTTGTATAACAGGAGAGAACTGTACAATTTGGAAGCAAAACATAGAATATCAATTCTCTGAAAAACCCTTCTGATTTAAACTATGGACCAAAATGATCTTGTTCACAATACAGGTATGTGTTTCTGCCTTTGTTTCCAGTTCTTTCGAAGATGCAAACTGTTCCTACTGTCCACACAAAAGAATTTTCATGTCACTAGTTTTACAGTTTAGACATTTGGCTACGGAACAACACTCACAAAATAATTTTCGCTACTGTTCTATAGCCAACAAGTCTGGTGAGAGACAGTTTATACCATATGTTGGAGGTTTTTACAGCATGAATTATCATCTTGATTACCAAACTACATCACTTACAACCTTGGAATAAGGAAAAATATAATCAGGCATGGGGGGGGGAGACACACAGACCCTCCAATTAATAATGATGAGACAGGATATCAAAGAAGAAAATACATTTTGCTACAAAGACATAAAAGGCAGCACATTTAGTGCTAAACCTACTGAAAAAGAACAAAGAAGAAAATACATTTTTCTACAGAAACATAGAGGTAGCACATTTAGTGCTAAACCTAAAAAGCATATACAGCTGTTGAAACCTAAAATGTAATAACATAAAATACCACTGAAATTTCACCAAAACTTGGTGAGGAAAAAAAAAACAAAACTGAAAAACTGGTCATTTGAAGAGCACCATTAGCTTACCAGGAATGCTTATTAGATGATCATCAATGACAGTCAACCATTCTACAATTAAAATAGAAACTAGAAATAATATCAGTGAAAAGAAATTGTTATATTCTACCTTAAATACAATATAGAAAAAAATTTTTGCCCCAACTTATAACTTTAATGGTGTTATTAGCCATGGTTTCCAAACTTTTTTCATCATGCAGAATTAGCCATAAAAATTTCTTAGCAGTAAGCCCTAATATTGGGGCACTGTATATATTTACAACGTACATTGTAAATGTATATTTACAAGTACTCCTACACTGTATATTACATAGATCATAAAACACATTAAAGGGGGCAGGTAGGTGGCACAGTAGATAGAGCACCGGCCCTGAAGTCAGGAGGACCTGAGTTCAAATCCAGCCTCAGACTAAACACTTGACACTGACTAGCTGTGTGACCTTGGGCAACTCACTTAACCCCAATCGCCTTAAAAAAACCCACTAAAAATAGATGTTTTTAAAAGATGATGCAAAAACGAAACAAATAATATTTAAAATAATTTATCATTAATAATATTTCAGTGACAGCAAGCTGACTAAATGTGAAATTTCATTCTTTCTTTAAACCTTTATTTAACACTCTGAGATACATCAATTCAAGCTCAATCTACTTCAATCATTGGTCTAAATTGTACCTTACAAAAATGGAACAAGCACATCACTGTTTGCACTTATCAATCATGATGCTCATTTTTAAATCCCATCTACCAACCACTCAAAAATTTTTGTTCAAATTCAAGTAGTAAAGTAAGGGTAACTACCCCCTTAACTCAATCAATTGCTCTTGCAAACTAACTAAAAAAAAACAACTAAAAAAAATTATTTGGAAGATTTTTAAAGACTAGAAAATTGTCTCCAAGCCTATATGAATTTTAATGGGAGGCACACACAGTTTTCAGAAACAAAAACTTAGTTTTTTAAATGTCTTACTAAATGTGATAGCTTCATATTACTTAGCTACCATATCAAGTAACAACACATATTTGGGGTAGAGGTTCCTAACCTGGAGCTTGATGATAAATTTCAGGGAGTCTATGAATCCAAATCAGGGGGGAAAATGCATGTTTATTTCAATATAATTAGTTTCCTTTGTAATCCCATGTATTTTATTTTATGCATTAAAAACATTATTCTGAGAAGGCATCCTTCTGGATTCAGACCACTACAGGGATCCATGATACAAAAAAGTTAAGAACCTCCAATTCATGGGAAGTCATCATTAATGACAGTTGATCCATACATATTTCAAATCATCTTCCTGGTAATTATCAATTTTTATTGCCAACTTCTTATCAGCTCTGTCACTGTTTTTACCTCATAATATGGCTGACAACAATCTCTTACCAGGAAGAAGACAAGTTTTACTCAAATTTATTCACTTGTGCTCAAATTATTAGGATTATCTTTGATCCATGGTTTCTTGGAAGAACTCATTTTAAGTCACTTTTCCCTTCTAGGAGGGTTAATTTACTTGAAATTAGATAATATATTCCATAAATCCACTTAACCAGACTGAAAGCAAACAAACAAGTGATAGTGCCCCTGTCCACCTCTCCATGTTGTCCAACTCCCACTCAGGACATTGACTATATATGATATGTGACCATCTCAGACCAAATGCAGACACCAATGTCAATTCACATAGTAAATATTAGTAAAGCTTAACTTCTTTCTTTAAAAAAAAATATAAACAGAAGTTCTAACATTTTCTTCACTTTGCTTTTGGAAACCACTAGATATAGAGAACTGTCCCCCACCACCACCATGTTGAAATTCCCTTCACCAATACAGATTAACAAATGCAGGAGCTTTTAGTTAGAGAATTACCTATGACACTGAGGTTATATGTGTCAGTATGTGTCAGAGGCTGTATTTGAAACTAAGACTTTATAAGTCTAAGGCTAGATCTCTATCCACTTAACCACACTGTCTCTATTATTTTATGTAATAAAAATAAAAATACTGACTAGCTGCATGAGGCATCTAGGAAAACAAAACAACTAGATACCAATCAAGAATGACCTTGAAAAAACTGGAGTCATTAGAAGGCAAATGCTTATTAATCATCTGGTATCAATCTTACATGTGTATCTTGCTTCCGTAATGCCTATAGAATAGAGTACAAACTGGAATTCAAGTTCTAAACTTAATTCTCACTACCCCCTACACAAATCTAAACTAGTCAAATGTATTTATGTTCTGTTCCCCAAGTATACTTTGTTTCTTTTTACCTCTGCCCTTTGATTGGGGACATTTCCCATTTTCCTTCCCTCCTTGCACCCTTAATCCTCTTCCCTCCACCCTCCAACAGCCTGTGCCTATGACCAATCCCTTTCTCTCCCTCTTCTTCAGTCTTTCTCCCTTTATACTGGCTTCTTCCCTACTCCCTACAAACATGCCAAAGGACCTCCAACCTATTTTAAAAAGCTTCAACTGACCCCATGATCTCAAGCTGTCATACTATACTCTTCCTTTAATAGCCAAACTGCTAGAAAATGCTGTCCACACACTTTGGGTCTGCTTCTCCTGTCACTCACTTCTCAGCCCCCTGCAATCTGCCTGACACATAGTAGGCACCTAATAAATGTTAGGTGACTGACTGAACTGAAATCGTTTTCTCCAATTATTTCTTAACTGCCAAATCCAAGGCCTTTTGTAAGGCCTTAAGCTTCTAGACTTCTCTGCCGCATTTAACACTGCTGACCAGCAAAAGATTTATCTCCTTTCAAAAATTTAGTGACACTACTCTTGGATTTCCTCCTACCTGTCTGAACAATCTTCCTCAACTTATTTTGCTCGGTCATCATCCATTTCAAGACCCTTCCTTAACTACAGGGGCACACCAGGGACCCTTTCCTGGGCCTCTTCTCTTTCTACACTCTCAGTAACCTCATCAGCTCCCATGGGTTAAATTAATTTTATGCAAATAACTCCAGATCTATTCTATCCACTTCTAATCTTTCCATTTCTACCTCTACAATACCTTTAGCAGCTGTCTCCTCTTCACTCACACAGACACCATCCTATTTCAGGTAATCATCATCTCTCACCTGGACTATGGCAATAACCTCCTAACTGGTCCCCCTGACTCCAGGTTCTAACCTCCCTAATCCCATCTTCCACACAGCTGCCAAAGTGATATGCTACAGCACCGGTCTGACCATGTCACTCCCCTGCTCAAAAAGCTCTAGGGACACCCCACTGACTTTAAAAATAAAATACAAACCTCTCTATCTAGCATTTTAAAATATTATACTATCTGGTTGTAGCACAATGCCTGGCACATAGTAAGTACTTAAATGCTTGTTATCATTTTCCATGCACTCTGTGTTCTAACCAGAGCAGTCTACTTGCTATTCCTGATAACCTAACATTCCAACTCTCTCTCTCTGACTTTGCATTAGCTAGTCTCCATACCTGGAAAACATTCCCTTCCTCAACTCTACCTCTTAGAAGCCAAATCCCTACTTCCTTCAGCTCAAGTGCCACCTCCTCATCTCACTCAGGTACCAATGACCCACTTCTCAAAAAATTACTTTAAATAACAGTCTTGACCAAGAAAACATAAGCTCCTTGAAGGCAGGAACTGTTTTATTTTTGCTTTTGTAAAGTCAGTACCTGGCACAGAGTAGGTGATTAATGAAAGCTTGCTGACCAATTATTGTCCTGGAGATGAGATGCAATAATGTACCCACTTTCTTCGGCTAGGAAAAAGAACTACTAGGCATGTAATGTCACATTTACAGTCAACCGCCATTGCTGTATCAATAGGTTTTACATAACTTATTTTTCTTCAGTAAAAGGAGAGGGCAGGGTGGCTAAGGTACACCTGGAAATGACTGTGATTTAAAACTTAAGGCATCAATACAACTTTTAAAATAAAATGAGTACTGGACCAGATGATTTTGAAGTCCCTCCTAGCTCCTAAAAACCAGAATCCAGTGACTAACACTGAACAGGATTTGGCCCCTTACATCATATGTAAGAGGTTCAAAAGCCCTTGCTGACTACCTACTGCTAGAAGAAAGAATACTCCTGGATTTCTGCCACTTTGCAGGAACAGTGTGACCTAATGCATGTCAAGTAGCCAGGGAAACAAGTAGCCAGGTAACAAGATTCAACTCTACCATCACGATTATGACTTAGCCATTTTCACTGTTGTAGTTAAAGAGGCGACACAAAAATCCCACTTCACACATCCACATACAGGTGGGTCTATAGTTTCCAAAGATAGAAACCTGGAAGAAACTAGGTCATCAAGTTCAACAATCTTATTTTACAACTGAGGGAACTGAGTCCTACAGAAGTCAAGTGATTTTCTGGCCAGAGGGCAAAACTAGGAGCAACAGACGGAAGCTGTGAAGAGGTAAACCTGGACTTTCCTAATATTAAGAGCCATCCAGGAGTAGAACGGTCTGCCTCAGTAGTTTTGACCCTCATTGACAGTCTTCCAACAAAGGTGGAAAGACCTGTGATAACAGACTTCTTGTTATGGTACGCACCAAATCTGATGCTTTCTAAGGTCCCTTCCAAGTCAGATTCTGTGAGGATATAAGTAGTAAAACTTGGAAGCAATCTGAGTCCTCAGACTCCAAATCCAGAATTCTTTCTACCAATGCACACCAGATCTCACAGCTAAGAACACAAGACTCTCCCCTTGCACCTCACACTATCTTTGGCCATGTCTACCGGCATTCCAAAAAATTCTTTTCCTTCCTCCATCAACTGGAACAGAAGGAAGACAGAAGACACAGAAAAGAGTCCTAAGTCAAGTAACATATCTTCCATGAAAAACCTTTCCTGATCATTCTACCCAATACTTGTCTCTGAGTTCCTATGGCACTTTAATGACTGTACTATTCACTTGTAAGCAGAATGATGCTGTCTAAAGGGCACTGGACTTAAAGTCAGAAGGACTTAGATCTGAATTCTGGCTCCACCACTTATTAGTTACATGACCAAGGTCACCTCACTTGAGCTCTCTGAGCCTAGAAAACACACTAGAAGAAACAGTGCTTGACTCAGAGTAAAAGAACCTCACTTTGAACACAGGCTGTACTACACTACTTACTGCTTTATTTATGTGATCCTGAGCAAGTCATGTAATCTCTTTGCCGACTGATTTCCTCATCTATAAAACGGTTGGGGGGAGGATGTTGGACTAACTGACCTCTAAGGTCTCTTTCAGCTCTAAATCTACAATCTGCACTTTCCTCTTCTGTTAAAGAGTTGATATGTACAGTACCACCTCACAAGTTTGTTGTGAGGGTCAAATGAGACAATGTACAATTTGGAAACTTTAAATTGATATATAATTTGGGGGCACTGGTATTAGATATTTAATTACCATTTTCTACACAGGAAAAAGATAATGATTTATGTTTTGTCTTCTCCCCAGGGTCTCTAAGATCCTTGAGAGGAAAGAACCATGTCATCTACTTCTTTTGAAGCCCCTTTCCCAAAATGTTGAGCATGGAAGGTGCCTCTTTAATTCAACTGAATTTTAAAACAAAATACTTCTGCTGCTGAGCACAGATGAAAATTATGGACTACTCAAAAGTATTTCTGTCTACCTTACCTCCTCAAATAAAAAAGGGAAATGGTAGCAAATCAAAATATTACTCAGCTTGGATCAAGGCATCCTCCATGTACCACATATATAACAAATACCTCTAGGTCTGGTCCTAGATAGCTGGGTAAACTTTGAATAAAAGGGGATTCAAGGGGCAGTGGATAGAGCACCAGCCCTGAAGTCAGGAGGACCTGAGTTCAAATCTGGCCTCAGACCACACACTTGACCCTTACTAGCTGTGTGACCCTGGGCAAGTCACTTAACCCCAACTGCCTAAAAAAAGAAAAAAAAGAAAAGGGAAGTCATTTCTTTATGTCACTGGTCCTTCTGAATCCAAGCTACAAAAATGAACAATGGGCTTATTTAAGATAAGTGAAATACAATGGCCCTTAAATGTCCTTCTAAATATCCTAATACTGTGTGTTAAATAAACAGGAACCTACACAGCTCAGGGATCTAAACTATAGTTGAATTGATACCAATTATATTCAAATGAACTTAGTTCTTAATTGCTGTGAAAGTGTTATTTTGAAATAGTTACTGACATTAAACTTTTCAAAGTTATTTATTTATGTATATCTTCACTAAACACATTTATATAGGTATTTATAAATATTTATATTTAAATATTAAGTAAACCTATAACATAACATTTAATAATATAAAACATGTATTGTGTATATAAACATATACATGTAAATACCTGTTTACTCTTACATTGAATACATATGTGTATATATGCATGTATGTATGTGTATATATGTGGGTTATTTATAAACAGATATTTATGAGCATTTAAATATAAAATATATTACAACAATGCTTTTGATAAATATAATAAATGTTTATGCGCACATGTGTATGTGCACATACACGCACACACACGAGCAGATGTGTGTACAGAAACAGAATTGGCTTTGGTGAATGTGGGCTAGTTTCAAGCTTTTGTGTGCTGCTATGTTTATAAATAGCACTGAAGCCTCCCTAGAGCACAACCTGGTAGAATAAAGAATTCAGTACAAAATGGGTCCGTTTCGGATTCCACCAAGGGAGTACATTATTGGAAGTAAAACAGAAGGAAGACTCCAAGAATCTAGCACAGGAATGGGGAACCTGCCACCTTGAGCCCACATGTGGCCTTCTTAGGTCCTCGGGTGCTGCCTTTTGACTGAGTCCAAGTTTTACAGAACAAATCCTTTATTAAGGGGATTTTGTTCTGTGAAGTCTGGATTCAGTCAAAGGGCCAAATAAATATGGGATGGTTGATTGTTTACACTCAATCTATCCCACCTGTGACAACCTCCCAAAGCACAGACCTCAAGAGCAACGTGAGAACTAAGCACGGGCAATTTCAGACCAATTCAACAAGCATCAGTTACTTAATAAGTGTGTGTACATATACACGTATGTACATGTATGTGTTCTGTGTGTATATGTGGGTGTTGATAATAATTATAATGCTGATAATTCATAAGCCCACTTATTTCTGAGTCATAGGACTAAATGCTATAGATACAAAAACAATACACAGTCCCGGCTGTCCAAAACTATCTGACACATATTGACTCAACAAATTCAGAATTTCAGAATCTTTAACTAAGAAAGTCTTCCTGACAGTACAGAAAAGGTTAAGCACAGAAAAAAAAAATTTAGGATCATAGGTTTAGAGCAAGAAACAGACTTTGAGATCATCTATTGCAATTATTACAAATGAGAATACTGAAGTCCAACATCTTGTCCAATTTCTTTTTTTCTTTTTTAAGGCAATTGGGGTTAAGTGACTTGCCCAGGGTCTCACACAGCTAGTAAGTGTCAAGTGTTTGGGCTGAGGCTGGATTTGAACTCAGGTCCTCCTGACTCCAGGGCCGGTGCTCTATCCACTGTGCCACCTAGCTGCCTGCCCAATTTCTTTGTCTCTTCACATTCAAGGTCTTAAAAACAAAGGCCCCAAACCTGAACCGGACATGATATTTGATTGGCAGTTAAATTTGTGAATGAACTGGACGCTGCATTTGATTGGCAATTTTTGTTGCATGTCTAGCTAGTATTCATCTATTTGATACTGTTAAGTCTTTTATTTTCTCCTACTTGCAAAATTCACAGGATAAATCATGTTGCCCTCTGTACCAATCCCAGTGGTAGTTATGTCTGGAAATTATCAATGAGAATCAATACAAAGTACATCACCCACCTCATGCCAAGGAGGTGACAGACTTAAAACGCAAAATGACACATTTTTGGATACAGCCAATGCGGGAATTTATTTTGCTGGACTAGATATTTATTATGAGGGGTTTTTTTTAGTTTTTCATAGGGTTTTAATTATGCATCAAACACATCCCTAAGACATTTTATATTTCTTTGTATCTTCCACAACACCTAGCAATGTATTACACATAGCAAGCAATCAAATATTTGCTAAATGAATGAAGAGATTTCCCTCCTTCCTACAGGAATGCTGTTTCCCAAGAACTGAAATTGAGCCAGCTAGACATTATCCACATACAATTTTCTGTTACTAAATTTATCAACTAACTAAAGTAGAAAATAATCTTTTAAAAAGAACATGAAAATGTGGCAACAGATCTCTTCAATCTCCAGTTGCTAAGTGATTTTAATTAACTCCTCTGCCCTCCAAAAAACAGCAAATTCTTTATCGCAAAGCATCAAAATGAGGTCCTAAAACATAAATTCCAAACTACCTATCCTCCCCCTAAACAGATACAATGAAATTCCATATGTATCAGGCAAGAAAATAGTTTCTATCTTCTTCAAACTGATTCTACAAAAAATTAACAAATACTAGTCTTAGCAGCACTGTACTTCAGTGATTTTTTTTACTTCATAAGAGCACAAATAAACTTGCCTCTTGTCTCAAAGAAAAGGAGTAAAAAGTCAGCAAATAAAAGAAATTTCATTTGAACATATCTTAGAAAGTATAAAAAAAATCAGATTTCACCCACAAATGGAGAACCTGGGAGAATACAATATACCATTGCGTTAAAGCACAGCTCTCCCATTTCAGAGCTGTTCACTCTAATGACAATCATATAGACCTGCACAATCTGTGACCCTCCTGTTTGCAGCCAGCCAAAGGATTTGGGGTGGCCAGCAAAAAATGTAGAGGATTTTTTCCTCTACATTTTTCACCGGCCACCCAAAACCCTTTGGCAGGCCCACAGGTTGTGCAGGCCTGCGGTTATACAACTAAATGTGGGGTAGACTATGAGCTAAAAACAAAAAAGGAAGAAATTCATAAACAATCAATGCAATTAATATTGTCTGGCTAATTAAGTTTGTCCCATCTCTTTCCTGGCAGAAACAGATACATCTAACATCCCTGAACTGAAGAAAACATGAGCCCATGTATGTTTACTTCACTGTTAAGACTTATTTGTACTGATGTAAAAGTCTCAGCCTCTTTCTGTTACAACTCTACAATCTCTTTCCTAAATTCTTATGTAGACATTCTTTTAAAAAGTTACATTATGTTTGCATGCTAAGACTTAGAACCAAATTTCTAAACTGTGAATACTGAAAGCCTTACTTGGCATTTTCAATTCAAAAGTAAAAGCAACTTTTCAAAAAGCCAAACAAACCGCATATGAACTACTGCTGTTTGAAACCGTAGTTATTTCTGATGGATGGGACCAAAAGGTTCACAGGACTGAAACTGAGACTGCATTGTGACGGAAAATCCTTGGAGTCAAGCAATACACATATTTGGAATTTCCCTCTGGATATGACATGTCACAAAACAGTTAAATGTTCCACAACCACTAACAGACATATTTTATGTATTTAATGCTGGTTCTGTTGGTAACAAACCATTTGAAAAACAATGGGGTTATATACCAGGAAATTTAGAGTTTTGTTAAAAATAACATTACTCAAAGTGTAAGTTGTTCAGGGAAAAAATGCTATTAACAGGAATATTGGAAGACAGCAGATAATACTTAGCTGCCTATATCCAAAACTAACTCTATCAACAAGCATTTAGTAAGCACCTACTACATGCCAGACACTGTTCTAAGCACTGGGGATACAGATAAATTCTGAAGTTTTTAAACTTGTCCATATGTGCTACCTACTAGAACTAAGTTGGAAAATAAAATTTTAAAAATTTACAGAACAGATTAAGTTCCAGAAATCCAGTTATAGGAATAATGCACTATTTATGTGTCCTCAAGGCATAAGGACTACCCACTAAGGTGTCAGTGTGTACAGATCCAAAGTTTACTATTCAGCCTTCTGATGCTCCTTTTTATTTCTTCAAGAAAGTCACCAACTCTCTTGTTTCAATTATCACAGCTATACCAATGACTTCCAATGCAGACCTAACTACATAGCTCCAACTGCCTATTACAGGATGTCTTCACTCAGACGTATTTCTATTATCTCCAATTCAATATATTCAAAGCTGAAGCCACTCTCTCTTACTACCCAATTGTCCACCCCTTCACAATCCCCTCCCTCTCGGGCTAGAATGTTCGGAGCCATCTTTTTGCTCCCCCTCACCTAGGCAGTCGCCACCAACATCTTCCTTTACAAGATACCTCAGATTTATCATTTCTCGAAACGCCATTCTTGTGGCCCTCATTCTAGAGCAGGCCTGTCACTTCAAATAGAAATTACTTCGAAAGTCTCCTAACCGGCCTCCTTTGCTTGACTTTTTCATCCCACCAATCTGATTTATCTTCTGAAGTCACAGCTTTCATGCTATTCTCCTGCTCAAGAATTTAATCCCTATTGTCTACCACATAAAGTTTATAAATAATTGGACCTGATATTCAAAATCCTTCAAAATCTTGCCCTAACTTGTCTGTATCACCTGAGCACCAGCTAAAGACTCTCTGCCTCCTCCATGAAGCCGTTCGCAGACTGTTCTCTCCCTATTTTTTAAACTTCCCTATTACCATCAAGCACACTACCAACCTCCCAGTCACCAAAGTCCATAAGCTCAGTGTCATTCCTGACTACCCACTCTCACTTACCCTACATATCAAATCCATTACCAAATCTTGTCTTTCCTTCCTTCACAGCATCTCAGATCTATTCCCAACATACTCTTCTCCATCCATTCAAAGCCACCACCCAGATTTGGTCCCTCTTTACAACCTCTCCCTTAAGTTTTTCCCCTCTCCGATTCATTCTCCGCTCAGCTGCCACAGTGATTTTCCTAAAGCCTTGGTCTAACCATATTACTCTCTTAACTCAATAAACTTCAGTAGCTCTCTATTAACTCCAGGATCAAAATATAAAATCCTCTCTATGACGTGGAAAGCTCTTTATAAACTGGCTCCTTCCTATCTTTCCAGTTTCCCTACACACTGCTCCCTCCACCCACTCTACAATCCAGCCACACTGCCTACTTGCTGTTTCTCCAACACAACCCTCCATCTCCAGTCCCCTCTCAGCTGGAATTCTCTTCCCCGCATTTCTAGCTCTCAGCATCTCTGGCTTCCTTCAAGACTCTGCTCAAATTCTACCTTCTACAAGAGGCTTTTCCTGGTCCCTGAACTGCTAATGCCTGCCACTTTATGATTACTTTCCATCTACTACAGATTTATCTTAATACATACCTACTTACATGTTGTCTACCCCATTCAAATGTGAGCACCTTGAGGACAGGGGCTGGTTTTGCCTTTCTTTGTATTCCCAAAACTTAGCACAGTGCCTGGCACAGAGTTAAGTGCTTAATGACCAACTCAAAAATAACTCATAAATAAATAGGTCTAATCACTTAATTCAGCAATTATTCACACAGTTTTAAATTTTTTTCTTGTAACTAAGTATGATTTTCTTCAACAGAAGTTAATTCCCTTGATGCCATGGTAAGGATCCTGTATCTATTTTTATCTCTCTTCCCTTTTATAATTTCATCTAAAGGAAAAAATTTGAAAAAAAAATAGCATCTGAATCAATACAAAAAGCAACAGGAAAAAAAAGAATAAAATAGCATTTGATTCAATACAAAAGCCAATTTGGAGTCTTAGTTGCCATCTTGATGTTCAATTAACCCTGATAAACAAAGATTAAACATTTGCTATCATTTTTCTACCGCACCTAGTGCTGAATTTAAAGTGTCAATCCAAAATAGGTGAGCAGTAGTAAAAAATGGTCCTGATATCAAAGAATATTTTTGCCATTATATTTACTTATAAAGATTTGCCAAGCAGAGGTCCTCCTGTGCTTTTTCATAAATATACTTCATATTTATATTTCAGAAGAAATATACTTCCCTCACTAATACCTGTAAAGCAAGGAGTTCAAGTATTATTTGTCCCCATTTTATAAATGGCATTAGAGCAGGCGTTCTGAACCTGGAGTCTGTAGACAGATTTCAAGAGGTCCGTGAATTTGGTTTTTCGGGTTTTATTATCAATATTTTGATAATTGTATTTTAGTAGTATTTATTTTCTTGGTAATTGTACATATTTTATTTTATAACTATTTCAATATAATTGGTTTCCCAGATAATCCTATGTTTTTTATTTTCTGCATTTTAAAAAACATCATTCTGAGAAGTGTTTCACACGCATCACCAAACTGCCAAAATGGTCCACAACACACACACACACACACACACACACACACACACAAATGTTTAGAACCCTATAACAGAGAGGCTCAGAGACGTTATATGATTTGCCAGTGGTCGTTCCAACTACCAAACATAGTTGGTTCCAAGTCCAGAACTACTCTCATGCCCTCCACTTCTGTTCCATCATCTGGAATCAGCACAATAACCAAAGGCTACAGTAAAAACTCCTGAAAGGTATTTGTTCCCAAAAGAAACATTCACCTTACAATCTGTTAACATAAAGGTTAACATAAAGGTCAATTCAAACTGTTCAGTTATCACAAATCCTAATTAATGAATCCCAAATCAATTAGATTTATAATCCACGCAAATATGTACCAGCCTACTCCCTTTTATATAACTGTAGGATTTAGAGCCAGAAGGGACCTTGGAGATGTTTTTTCCTACCTCCCAATCCCCCCCCCACTCTCCTTGAATATCAACCACAAAAGTCACTGGGGGGTTCCCCAAGTGAGCTTTTCCCCACACAATGATTTTATTTCCCTGCCTAACCACTGCAGATTTGGCCATTTAATCACCAGAAACAGGATAAGCCTCACTCCAGATACTGTAAAGAGCCCGAGGTCAGTAGTCTACCAGCTTATCTAATCAATCTCACTGCTAATTCTGCTGTAACCTAGGTACCACCATAAAGGCATTCCTACCTAGCCACTAGTTCCCATAAGTTGGTTCAGTATTCCAAAGGTCTAGATTTTAATGGGGGGAAAAAATGAACTAGGAAACTGGGAGGCCTAGGTTCTAATCCCAGACAAGCCACCAATTAGCTGTGGGCAAGTCACAATTTCCTTTGGGCCTCTTCCTGGCATTACAAAATTGAATTCAGCCTCCCATTCCAGGTAACACAACAAGCTCCCCTTCCCAACTCTTTAACTCACTGGCACCATCAATTACTACTGTAAAATGAGGGGGTTAGAATTGTAGGGTCCCTTCCTGCTCAGATAATCTGTGATTCTGCGAAAAAAAAAATATTTCTTATTTATATAATTAACAGTTTAGCTCTATAAACAGATTCTGAAGTGAATGGTACACTTGCATTAGACCAACATGTTGAGTCCTCTCTAAGGCTTTTTCTCCCTGAGAAGCAGGAAACAGAAAAACAGCTTTTTCCAGAGACCTGATTTCTTCCTCACCATAGTATATATTGTGGAAGTATAAGGATCTTGGAGATAGGGACTTTATATGTTCATCTGGACTAAAATTATGTTTTGAGTGACGTAAAGCAAACCTATACTGTAGACACTGTCAACGAAGTTCAAACATTATCCTCTTCACTTACTATTAATCAATCAAGCAGCAACCTGGTAAGGCACCAAGTACCATACAGAATTCAGAGCAGTTTGCTTTCAAGTAGTTTGCATCATCCTAATGTTTTCCTGTTCCTGCCAGGAAAGGATACAAGGCTCCCTTTTTGCCTTATGTTTTTCTTATTCTATAGCCAAAAGAACTAGAATCACTCACATATGAGGTACAAACTAAAAAGTAATGAGACTGATTTCCCACACACACAGGAAAGTCTAATTTTACAGTCACACTTGGCATTAGACTTTGTTTCTAACCTAATAAAAAATTCATGGTAAATTCAACCTCCAAGCCATATGCATCTTCTCAGCTAAGGAAAAATGAGTACAGAATAAAAACCAAACCCAAAGCTTCCTAATGGTTATTTCAAATTCAATACAACAAGACAAAAAAAATCAGTCTGTCATATTAAACTGAGTGCCCTCTAGTTTATTACTCACAACTCATAAAGCATTCTGTAATGCTCTGACAAAAATAAAATGATTTGTCATAAATGAAACTAAAGTATTCACAGAAGGAATGAAAAGAAAAGCTTACACTACACAGATGATCTAATGGACCTAAAGATGTAAAACTTCCAAAAATTTTGATGCCAAAGAAGTTTATAAAAAAAAAAAAGTTTGGAGTAGCTTTTCTTTGGGAGGTGGGAGTAAGATGAGGCAGAAATCTTGATGAAAAGTGAAACAGAAGTCTTTTTTAGCAGCCTTTACATATTTCAGAGTTGCTTTGCTAGCATTAGATAAGAACATTATGCATAAATCAGATCATTTTTAAAACCAGCACATTTGGTATATTTAGAAATGTTAAGGCCAACCACCACCACCCCTCCAAAAAAAATTCAGACTAGTTTTTTCCTATGTTTTTGCATCTCTAAATGGAAGTGGATCAAAGCCCTAAAAAAGGGCAATAAAGGACTTTAAGAAAGCCATGTGTTCTCCCTGCCTTTTCAAATCCTATGACATGCCTAAACTCCAAATTTTCTATTTTCTCATACAAACTACATCTGAGAAATGGATACCTAGGAGCATTCAACTAGGTATTGTTTAGTGTAGCATAGACAAATTCTACCTGTTACTGAATTTCAGGCAAATTTTCCTGGGTTTTAATTTTCTTAAACTCTAAGTATTTTTCTATGGTTTAAATAAAGAACTGTATTCTAATCCAGTTTTTTTCTGGATTCTTTTTTCTTCTTCTAAGCTGAGGAGTAAAAGAACTTCCTTCTTTTTCATCAGAGATATGTTTTCCTAACACATTCTCCTACTATTGTGTTTTAGTCTTCACCAAAAAAAAAAAAAAAAAAAAAAGACTGACACCCCCCCCCAAAAAAAAACTAAGACAAAGATACCTCAGTTTTCAGAAAAGTCTATCCCAGGACTATAAACTATAGGAGGAAAGGGGAGGAGGTGAGAAGGAGGAAGAGAAATCAGATGAGAAGTTTTAAACTTCAACCTAGCGTTATACATTGGCCAAATATTTCAAGATGTGTTTAATGATCTTTATTATTGTCTCTCCATTTCAGAAACACATAGTAAGGGCTACCTAGGCCTATGCTAAATCGACTATAAATCATTTGAAATATAAAGAGAGACAGACAGACAGACATAGGAAAAGTCAGAAGGACTACAGGACTCCACATCCTGGCTGCACAACTCCGGGATTTTTCTGACTGACATGCTCCAAGAAGCTTATTATTGGGATCACCTCATCACCCTGTAAGATGTCATAAGCCTTCCAACTCTACCTTTTCATGTCCCCCTGCCTCTGATTGAGGGTGAAGCTGTGAACTCAGAAGCCCAACTCAGCTTGTTTCTCATCTGGCTGTACTTGGTGACTTCTCTGACCTCTTCACCATGCCCCTGAATGGGGGTACCTTCACCTTTTCTCCCTTCCACTCCCTCCTGTTCTTTTTGTGGTTTGTCCTTCTTTCCAGGGAAGGATGTCTTTTTTTTTTATTTGTATCCCCAGTGCAAGCACAATGCCTGGCACTTAATAAATGTTTATTGATTATTGACTACTTATTGAGGTACAGGATAGTGAAACAGAACACTATGTTTTTCCCTGTATTGCATACCTGCCCAAAGAAATCTTTACCACCAACATGCTCTTTGGAAGTAAAATGTAAGTAAATAAAAGCACTAGGAGAACCAATTAAAAAAAAAAAACCAAAGCAGCAGAAAGCAAGATCTGAGGCAGTCCAGGAATTAATCCTTTTCACTATCACCAAACCAGAGCTACCTTCATCGTCCTCCAGACAGACTGATTTTGCATTTTTTTAAAAATCACATTCAAGATAGACACAGTTAAAGATTTTCACAAAATCAAGCAGTCCAAAATGATGGTCCTCAAAGTAACCAGATATAGAATAAATAAGCATTAGTATAATAGTCAAAGTGTTCTCTTATATAAAATGTTGAAATAGCTATTGTTGCTTTAGGAACTCGGTCCTTGAATGTACAACTAGAACACAATTCTTTGTTCTAAAGATGTACTTAAGGGTGATGATATTGCATTTAATAATCTACAAATATCAGGACTTCAAATAATGATTTTATGATTCACCATGTACCTTATACATGGCATATTTTAAGGCTATCTAGTCAAACAATTCATATACTTTAACAATACTTATGAAGGCTCAAGGAAAGAAGCTATCATTAAAAAAATACAGGTAAGGGAAATATCTCTGGAATAAATATAAATCCATTTTCTTATATATAATGTAGACTCTGACTGCTTTGTCAGGAAGGAAAACTGATACTACGTTGCTTTTAAGAAAATCACTTCTGGCGAGCAGCTAGGTTGTGCAGTGGATAGAGCACCTGCCCTGGAGTCAAGAGGACCTGAGTTCAAATCCAGTCTCAGATCAGACACTTAACACTTACCAGCTGTGTGACCCTGGGAAAGTCACTTAACCCCAACTGCCTTGCTGGAAAAAAAAATCACTTCTTAAAAAGTGTCATTGCTCCTCCTTTTTCAATTAGGACTGCAGATACTATCTAGTCACTATTTCTACCTGAGCCAAGATGAATAACTTTACTTTGATCCCAAAGCCATGATGTATACTTTAATCCAAAGAGAATGATAACTTGACACTTTTTTTTTAATAACACAAATGCTTTAATTGCAATAAAGGTAAGACAAGTTATGCTTTAATAAAGAAATCCAACTAGTATTCTCTATTGCTCCATATCACCCTTTTTAAAAAATGAAATAATAGTACTTTTATAGCTTTTTCTTCCTAGAAAATCCATCAGTGACATTTAATCACATTAGCTACTTTAGAAAATAATCCATCAATGGCTGTCATACTTTACAAGGTTACTAAAAATGGTGACAATTTGTCTTAGCATAGCTAATATTAATAAAATTAAGCCATGGAAGCAGTCACATTCCAAAATATTTGAAAGATTCTACCAATATCACAGACTGTTTTGAAACAGATTTCTCTGTGAGCCTATTAAGATATTATACTAATGAAATGAATTCTGCCACTAGTTTGCTGTGTTAATCTTGTTTAAGTTTCCTAGCCTTTCTGGGACTCAGTTTCCTTCTCCATCAACAGAAAACTAAAACACCTTCCAGTTCTAACATGTACTATGTACTAGAGATAAGCTCTGAGTCTACAGAACACTCTAAGATTCTCCGATATCATTTCCATCTATCTGAAGCCCAATACTCCCATAACAGACACAGACAATAACAGTATCCTTTTAGTACAAACTTCTGACTTTCTAGAGGTTGAGAACAAGACTTCAGGATAAATGTTATAAGATTAGTATTTAGAAAAAAGAATTGCAGCTGCAGTTACTGCAACTTTACTGCCCTGTGCCATCAGTGTTTGCACTTTAAACCAGCACAGATATTTACTTCAAATAGGTTTTTGTTTCGTGTGTGTGTGTGTGTGTGTGTGTGTGTGTGTCTGTGTGTCGATTTTGGGGGGGGGGATTTTGAAATAAGAGGAGAATAGAAACAATGAACATTTCCTGAGGACATTTCTATAAAGCTGAGATGGATATATTCTAACTGGCTGCATGTTAATCTCTATCTACCTATTAATTTGTGCACATCAATAGCATTTGCTATGTGAGAAAAAAAATCTAATTCACAGTACTCAAATTTCATATAATTAATCTTCACCTTTATTTAAATAACTCTTACAACACCTCTCATACCTTTTGAATATATTCTACAGGATCCCACAATTCTTTCCCTATAAAGTTGTCCCAGAATAATAAGAATAATAAAATCAAAAGTTTAAAGCTAAAAGGGACTTTAAGGGTTATCCCACCTACAAGCCTCATTTTATAGAAGAGTAAAGCAAGGGCCAGAGGTTGTGACTTGTCAAAAGTCACATAAACAATAAGTGGCAGCTTTAGAATTAAAACCCAGATCCTCTGACTTCAAATCAAGTGCTCTTTCCACTGTACCCTATAGGATATCTGGACTTAAATCCCAAAAAGTCATTCCAACTGACCTCTCTAAATAAGGTCTAAAGAAGAGAAGAGACTTGCCCAAGGTCACACAGTGATTCAGTGACATCTTAGAAACCAAAAGGGTATTCCAAAAATTATTTTAAAGTTCAAAGCTAAAAATATGCCTAATCCACCTATCCTCTCATTTTCATTTTAAAAACTTAGTTTTGATATGAATCAATTAATTAAAGACTCCCCATAAGGCCAATTCAGCTTTCTCAACTGTAAAAGGAGGGTGGCAGATTGGATAACAACTAGATACATTTGCTTTTCATCTAAGCCAGTTCAAAAATCTGGGAGCCAGCCAAATTGCACTACTTTACAGGAAAACAATTTACCACCATCATCAAGGTCGTCCTGCACAATCCAAATTCCCTATTATTGATAAAGTCCTCAACATGCTTTTTGGGGGATGGTATGGTAGTGATTATATCTGATTGCAAAAGAGACAGGGCTAACAAGCTACACACAAAAAATCAAATGGGTGAATAATAACTTACATTTATACAGCACTTAAAGTGTTGCAAAGTATGTTTCCATAGGCAATGCACCATTTTCTTCACCAGTAAAACGGACAAGTGAAATGCCCATAATCACAAACTAAGTGTCTGAGGTGGCATTTGAACAAAGGTCTATCTCCTTGCCTAGTACTTTATCAACAGCACCAGGGCTGTCAAACACAGGGCTGGCCAACAATCTCTAGTGCCGCTGACCCAGATTAAGATGTAACTGGAAAATATTTAACAAAATAAATATACAATATAACATAAATAATGTTAATAGGTGGTTTTCTAAGTCAGTATGAGACCTGCAAGGATCCTTATGTATGTTTTAGCAGACCCCATTTCTATTTGAGTTTGGCACCACTACACAACACCATGCAAAGCAGCTTGATGGTCATCCCTTAGAGCTAGTTTGTCAATAGTTGGCAACAAGTTCAGAAAGCTGGTTCACAGATCTTCAAAGACAGTCAGTACTGACTTAAATAGGAGAAAGTATACTCTTAGGAAATTGTGCTATGCTCTTTCAATAATCCCAGACTGCTCACTGACAAAAAATGGCTGAGAATCACAGGATATCACAATCAACGAAAAATCAAAATTTGAAGTAATTCAAAAGGTAATGGAGAAATATATGGAGCATAAATAGACTTGCAACGTATTGTGACCTGTGCAGAAGAAGTGAAGTAAAAGACAAGAAGAAATATAAATTAAGTTCTGCCTTTGATTTTACTCCTCATGTGACCTTGGCCAAGTCATCTAACCTCTTTCAGTCTCAGTTTTTTCATCTGTAAAATTAGGTAACTACGATGGAAAATGCTATCCATGTCCAGAGAAAGAACTAGGAAATCTGAATGCTATCTTCTCTTTTATGTTGTTTTTTGTGTTTTCTTTCTCACGGTTTCTCCTTTTGGTTCTGATTCTTCTTTACAACATGACTGATATGGAAATAAGTTTAATATCATCACACATGTATAGCCTATATCAGACTGCATGCTGTCTTAGGGAAGGGGGAGTGGAGGGGGGGAAATTTAGAACTCAAAATCTTATAAAAGTGAATGTCAAAAATTAAAAATAAATAAATAATTTTTTTGGGAAAAAGAAAATGATTTTTTAAAAGTGACGTAGCTAGACCAGGAAGTCTCCAAGATCCCCTCCAATTGTACGACCTGTTAAGATCCAAATAACAGACACTGAAACTCCTCACAAGAGGAAACCGAGCACATGTGGCTCAGCTGAGCATTAAGCACATTTTTCTGGGCTCCATACAAGGTGGGAGAATGGCTCTGTGAGCAGCAGACCCTCCTCCTGTCCCATTCTATACTTACTTCTGCCACAGCCCTTTCAAGGACTCTAAACCCCAAGCTACACTAAACTCAACAAATGTTTAGTAAGGGTTTATGATCTGCAAGACACTATGGTAATAAGCAGGGACATCAAGACAGCAATGAAACTACCTCTGTTCTCCAAGAGCTCACTTTTTACAAGCTAAGAGCTATGGTGACAGCCAAGACATCCAAGAGAACTGCAGGAAGCACTCCTAAAGAGAGTGCTGCCTCATAGAGGAAAACATAAAGTCATAAGCATGGAAAACACAAAGGCCAACTTTTGTAGTTACAAATTAGAATCAAACAAAGTTCTAGCCTCCACAGTGGCCCGGCACCCAGCATGTCCCAAAACCCTCAAGATGATCTTGAAGGTTTTTTGTTGCTCAAACTCAATGATTCTCCATCTCATTCTCCACCCCACCCCATCATTCCCATCAACTTCACTTAACAAAAATAGGAAATACTGTTAACTATTAGGATAGAGACTCACTGCTGGAAACTGATAATCCACAATCCAATGTAACTACATGCAACTGGACCTCACTTGTCTCCTAGAAAAAAACGTATTTTCTGGGAGGGCCTCTTGAGAAAAGACCT